CACTCCTCCTCCTGCGCTTGCGCGGCGAAGCGATGGCGCGCGCGTGCCCCGTTCCCGCCATTTCTCGTGAGGGCGGTGCGCGACGGCGGGGCAGGGCACGAGCAGCGCAGCGCAATTAGTTCTTAATTAGCGCTTAGTTAGTAAAGGGCTCGGGCTGCGGCAGTGGGTGTGCGTTCTGCGGGAACAGCAGTGAGCTCTTGCGTTCGTCAGTGTGTGTCTGTGTGCTGTCTTCACGCGTTTCTCCCTCCTGCGCTCCGTGGAGCAGTGGTCCGGGCCTGGCCCTTCCCCGGTGGAGCACAGCACTGCCGGGGCAGAGCGCTGCTCCAGGCTCCGCTGATGTCGTCCCAGCAATCACACAATCAATTAGGTTGGAACAGACCTCTGAGATCATCGAGTCCAGCCTATAACCCAACACCAACGTGTCAAACAGACCACGCATGCCATGTCCAGTCTTAAACACCTCTCTACATCCCCTTGAGCAGCCCATTCCAATGTCTAATCACCTTTTTTGTGAAAAAAAATTGTTCAACACGGATTACTAGGGGAATGTGAGTCAGAAGATAGTACTCCTACCAGCAAAGAAGACACATATTAGTGAACACAGTCCAGTACAAGATGTCAGAGCTATTAATAAGATAGTTTTCCAGGGAAATCAAAAGCAGTAGAACCAGTAAGAATACAGCTGAAACCTGACTGGTAAGGCAGAAACAATATACTTAAAAGCTAGAAAAGGGTTAGAAGAATTAAATGCTAAATTTGTGAAGAAATTCCTTTTTTTTCAACCTAAACCTCCCTTGGAGCAGCTTAAGTCCTCCTGTCGTGTTGCTGGTTATGTCACTGTAATACATACATACAGTTTTTTTAAAATAAATTAGAAATGTTAGTCAAAACAATTAATTAGGAACGTTATATCATTTCCAACAGTTACCTGGGAACAGAGGCTGACTCCCACCTGGCTACACCCTCCTGTCAGGGACTTGTAGAGGTAAGGTTTCCCCCAAGCCTCCTTTTTTCTGGACTAAACACACCCAGCTCCCCCAGTTGCTGCTAACAGGACTTGTCCTCCAGCCCCTTCCCCAGCTCTGGTCCCTTCTCCAGACATGCTCCAGCCCCTCAATGTCCTTCCTGAACGGAGGGGCCCAGAGTCAGACCAGCTTCCCAGTCCAGTGATGAGGCAGGTGGAGGCAAGCAGCAATGCAGCTGGAAATCCAGGGAAGCTCAGTGCTGGGTGTAAGGGCCAGCTCTGTGTCATCACTGTGTCATCACTGTGTCATGAGAGTTCCCAGAGATCTCCCTGTTGGGAGACAGGGAATCACCCCAGGTACTGCAGCCACCCCAAATATTCTCAGGACCTTTGGATCCCAGCATTTCTTTATCAGCATTTCTCTCTGAGTTTTGAAGGCTAAAAGTTTCCATACACAACAAAGTAATTATTTTCTCCATTTTCATGAAAGTTAAAACTTAGTGCTTTGCTCCCCAGGTAACAAACAGACCCTCTAGGGCTCTCTACCCGTAGCTCTCTTCCTTTGAACCTTTTGGGAAGCGGGATATTGTGCAGCTATCACTTGAACATGTTTTTCAAATTACACATTTTCGATTTTTTCTGTATTCATGTCTATTTTTGCAATTTACATCACGACTTCTAACTTTAGATGAATGTAAACCACATCTATCTCGTGCCTCCTCTGATTGTGGAGGAACAGAAAAAATCCTCCTCTCGCCAAGCCAGTCATTAATAACCCCACAAAGCAGTGATGCGACAGCCAGTATTCAATCTGCAAACGGTTATTTATTCTCCTGAAGTCCTGCAGCCATTTCTGTGCTCTGTTAGTGTTTATTTGTGATAATTGGAGGCAAGCTGTTTCTTCTGCATCAAACACTCCACCCAACCCCTCTACTTTTCCAGAACTCCATACTTTTATTCAGATCAACACACGACCACTAGAATTTTCTTGGAATTATTACCTAGCCAAATATTTGTAACAAAATGGCTGGTTGACTATACAGGACTAATGTACAACTGAAAACAGTAATTTAAGAGAAAACCACTTGAAGGAAAGCAGATGTGTTTCTCTTGTTGTTCATGGAGGAGTTCTGACAACGTGCATGCTGTCAATGGCATTAGAAATTCAAATTCCTAAATTGGGCATTTTGACTCTTCCATGGACGTTTACATGACTTTATCTCAGAAAAAAAAATTACATTAAAAACATGTAAATTATTTTAACTACACTCTCTCACATGATAGCACTTTGAGGAGCAGGGGAAGCAGCTGTTTTGGGGTGTATTGTGAGCCTAAGAGTGGTTACAAAGGAGCCCCCACTGTGTCAGAAGGGGAAAGGCTCTCTCCCCAGGACACTTCATGCATCATTACCTCGGGAAATGAAAGGCATTGGTGGAGATTATACAGGAATCTCCCTCTTCATTTTCCTGACAAATTACAAGGGCTTCTTTGAAGGGGTTCTAAAGACAGGCAGGCACACAGAACTGCAGCAGGTACCAGCCTTTGCTTCTGAAGAGCTGACTTCAGAGTCTGCTTAAATAGACTAGAAATTGTAACAGATTATTCAGCTATTCAGTAACAGTTCGTCCAGCTCCAGCTCCCCCACCCGCAAGCTTTCCAAGGCTCCCCCCCTGCTCCAGGTCAGTCACCACAATGTTGTCCTGAGTGCTGTGGGGCAGCGGCGTTGTCTCAGAGTGTGATTTGACATCATCTCTGTGTCAGCCCTCAAACGGCACCAGTTTCCCGGAGGCTTTCATGACCCCATCCCCTGAAACAAAAGCCAAATGAGATTGAGATGGCGTGGCAGCAAGGAGAAAAACACTGCCAAGGGCTTTGGGGGATCGTGTTTCCCGTGGAGGTGGAGAGCTTAAACCGCCATGAGACCTGCTGTGGTAAAGAGGGTGTGGTAGGGGATTTAGGAGTAGCCAGGTGGAGCTGCTGTCAACTGTAGTCACCAGGGACAGCTTCCATGAGTCCTTCTAAGCTGCTTTAAACCTCCCTGAGGTTTGCTCTGACACTGTACTGATGACTGTGGGGACTTACTTCCTTTGAGAGTAAACCCACACTGAACCTGTCCCTCTTTCTATGCACACATCTGCCCGCAGTTCCCATGTCATCATGCCATCCATGGGCTTTGTGATGACAGCAACTGCATGGTGTGACAGCAGCAGCCAAACAACTGGAGACACAGAAGGAGCATCTGTCTGGGTAAAGGAGCCCCTTTTCCTCAGAAGTGTTGAAATAAAGATGTTACTATTTTTAAAATGGCACCAGTAGAAAAGCAACAAAGGGATTTGTTGTATTTCTGATGAATTCTGGTCTGTTTGGGAACTCTTTGCAAGAATAAACATTAAGGATCCCAGAAATGTTAACATTTTCAGTGTTTCTGGTTATATACACAGGTTTTAGGGGGTGGGAGTAAAAAAATAAAACTTAGGCTATTATTTAACTCACAACGCAAAATCAACGAGGAAAGGGACCAAAAGTGCTACATTTGATTTAGGCAGCAAAAATCTCTTTTTATGTTATCCAAAACAAAGCATACTTTAAACCAATGGAGTTATTGCACCAGTCTCTCATTTAGTCTTCAAGGATCATAAAAATTTCAGTTTCTCTGTGAGGGTGGTTCTAGCCACACGCAGCACTTGGGATTTCTGTGTTTATAAAATAAAATCCATCTCTCTTCTTTGAAATTGCTTTGGCTCCTGCGTCCCCATCCAACCAATCTCTCCCTCAGCAGGCAAACAAGCACATATTTTACAGTCAGTGAAATATGTTTCTTTCAAAAAGGTTACAGAAAACATTTTCTAGACATTTATTCTTTTTTTACCTAAGTAATAGAAAAGAAGCAATGATTCATATGACTTCTCTATTTTAGTTGTTTCAAAAAAAACTGTTAACAAGGCTTCATATTTTAGATAGAAATTTGATCTTTGCAGTTTTCTACTAAATGAGGCATAAAAGTATTATATGTTAGCTGTTTAAAATAATGAAAGCTATCACAAGAAGCACAGTTTAAAAGCCTGTCTGTAGAGACTTTATAAAGAAGAGAAACCTAGTGATACATTTGTACAAAATAATGAACAGTGCAGAACAGGCCAGGCAAGTGTTCCCATTTCTTCTTTATTGCTGAAAAAGGAAAGGGGAGAGCTTTTGAAATTGGAAATTCTAATTTCATTCAGATTTAGAAAGTGAAATGGAAACATAACCATTCAAAGCTCAGAAGAAGAAATAACCTCCAGCTTTACTGCCAGTTGATCACAGAGCAGCATAGGATATCTGCAAGTATCCAAAACCCACTAAAACTTCCCATGGATAATGCACCCATTTAAAAAACTGTGTCAGGATGAAAAACATAGGAGCTGAACAACTTTCCATCTAAAGAATAATTTCATCACCATCTAAAAGACCAGGAAAGGTTCCCCAAGGCCCTGTATAGCCCTAAGAGTGTATTAGAGAGGATTGAATACAGTGCTGGTGGCTGATAAAGGCAAAGTCTTGGTGTAGTCTGACTCTTCATGAGATCCAGAATATATTTTCTTTAAGTAAACATTTTAGTCCAACTAATTTCTTTCCTCAGGAACATCAGGAATAACATATCATTATTCCCAAGTAAGCTGGGGCTCTCCTCAGTGAGCCAGAAAAATGGTCTGGCCTCAAGAAAGAGATTCTGAGTTTTCTCCCACTCTTTGTAAGTTATGTTCTCCATTTACCTGCACAAAACCCTGTAGAGCCCTGTGCATGATCTGTCTGTGACACACTCACAACATCTTCCTGAAATGAATCAGGATAAATCCCTCCTTCCTTTTGTGAGTATCTTGATGCATTTGATCCATGTTGGATGTTTTCACTGTTCCCAGTGCAGTGTGTTTGCTCAGATCCCTTTACAACTAGTGAAATACAGAAATATGTTTCACTGAATGAGAAATTCATTCATTAATAAGGAGCTGCCCCTTATGAAAGCATCATCAGGTGGAATTAGAAGGTATCAGAAAGTGGAATTAGAGTGTGCTTTGTGCTGAGCCTGTTCACTGTGACAAGCCTGACTTGATCTATGTGTTTTGTGAAGGAAAAGCTACCCAAAGCTCTGACACTTGAGGGTGCAGCTCTGATCTGAGACTTTCCCAGCAGCAGCAGTAGTGAAGCCTCCTCAGCAGCAGTATATATGTATGTCATGGGAGACAGGTAAATGCTGCTTCTCATTCCCCATCTGAATGATTAAAAAACTGAGGTATAAAGAGATTAAAAAGAACACCTGAAGATGGATATCTCCCAAACCGAGTGGAGTTACTCACTGTTCAGCATACCTGAAAATTCAGAACAGTCACGCATGATTTTTGGGGTGCCCTAAAATATTTTTTATGCAAGACCTGTGAACTGGATTAAGATAAATGTCTGTTCCTGTCGCTGTGAAACTGCATCTTTCAGCACAGCTGCCCCGCAGCTGTCACTAAAACAGCAGGACTGCAGGGTGACCCCACACCATAACTTAATATTTTCGTCAGGAATGTAGAGCCAGCAAGGAAAGGGAATCTTCAAGTCCAGGTCTTGGCCCATATTCTGTGGCTGACACTATCTGATGTCTCTGCCCTACAGTGCAAGCAGGAGGCTCACACATATCTGTACATTACCTGGCACAGGTAGAGACTTGGTCACTGTGTAGCTGCAGCAGCAAGGACCTCGGGGAGAACAGGATTAGGTTCCTCAGGAAGGCTGAGCCTCACCATCTCCCAGCAGTGCTCACCCCTCCCTGATTAAAGCTTCCTCAAAAGGCTGACAGAAGTTATGGACACAGTTTTCACTGCAGCAGTAAAGGGCAGCACGGTGCCAGGGGTGAAAGCTACAGCCAACAGCTTCTCTCCTGGCACAACAGAGCTGGTTGTCACAATAATGGTAGAGCTTGACTGGGTAGGAAACAGAAGAGTCTTCTCAAAGCTGATCTCAGAATACAAAATGAGCAGGATCCATGATAAATTCCACTTATTTCTGATCCCAGAGCAGTGAGACTGTTTTTTCAATCTTGCCTCCTACAAGATAATTAAATACATATTTTTTTTAGAGATAGCCACCAGAACAAGCCACTCCTTGCACTTACATCTCCTGGAGATGCAATGAGCAACAGGAGAGATGTGAATCACTGAAAAACACTGCTACACTTGAAAGAGCTCGTGTACCACTAGTGCTTGTCTGGGATATACAGAACACATCTGAATCTCTCCAGAGGCTTCCTCATTCTCCTTCTCTGCTGTGTCTGTGAAAACAAGGAGGCTCAGGTGTGCTGTCCAGTGTCATGTCTGAGGTATGCCTGGGATGCTGACAGTGTTGGACCAGGGCTGTACCATCAGAGCACAGCTAGGAGAGAAATGGTCCAGCTTCTCCTTCAGTGGGAGCTGCTGGCTTACACCACACTACTGCTCTGGGGCAAGTAGTGGAATGCCATGCCAGCGAGAAGGCATTTTGCTTGAAAACAATAGCCAGCTCCATCTGTCAAGTATAAAAGGTGCAGTCCTGGTCTCAGATATTAATCTGGTTTCAAACAGAGCAAACTGATTGGAGGATCAAGTACCCTGACACAGTGACATTCAGAACAACTGCTTCCCCCTGTGTTTCGAGCAGGATAATGCCATTACTGAGCACAATGCTGCTAATCTCAGCTCCACTCTTTCCGCTGAAGGGAAGAACATCAAAGCTTTAACATCTGCACCTCCTACCTGGTATCTGTCTACTGTCTCTCTCCTCTGCCCTCCCTGTTTCCTAGTCCATTTTGTACTGAAATCCTTGCCTTATCACATTCAGCAGTTGTCTGATCATTTCAGGAATTAAAAGAGCTTGGAGCTGTATCTTGGCTTGAATGACAGCATTTAAATGTCTGCATGTCTCTGGCAAGCAGAACTTGGTGCCAGGGTCTCTTTTCATATAATAGCTTGGAGTGACTTGGCATATTCATCACTCTGGAGAGTCCCTGAACAGACCCTCAGTAGCACAGTTTGCATAGAGAGACACAGGCAAGCTGCCTCCAGCCTTCAGAGATCCACTGTCTTAGAGAGGTTTTGTGGACTGTGAAGTAGGATGACAGCCAGGAATGAAGTCCCATACCCATGCTTCCTTCCAACAAGCCCTGACTTGTTTATACAGTCCCCTCTGATAATATACTGTTGGAAAGTCCCAGCCAAAGTAATTTCCTTGTCACACTGTAGGGCTGCACCTGTTTGTTAATGCCCAAAGGCATCTATCTCGTATTTATTAGCACAATGACCTGTGAATAGAAGGAATGAGCCCTATATAACATTGTGGTAACCATGAAACTCAAGAAGTCTTAGATGTTATAAAAGGGCTATAGACATCCAAGAGAGTTTATTAACCAGCAAATTAAGCTACCCCAATGCTTACAATGCAACAGAGATAAGGATTTTATAATCAAATAGTCTGATAAGAGTGCACACTCTTGTGACTCTGGATGGAAAACATCAAATCTGCACTGTGTTACAGTCACTGTAATAGCAATGCTGTATTAAATTCTGTTTAGGAACCTCATTTGTAACTTGCTTTCATAGATCACCAGTTATCTGAATGCAGAACTGAAGAATTTTTGCCACAGGACTGGTTTTTAAGTGGGCACAGGGAAAGGTGTGCATGCAAGGAAGTTTATTAATTTATTTCTCCTAAGATGGTGCAGAGTACCAGAAATATCAGAATGCATGAGAACGTGACCAGACCTGATGAGAACACTGTAACAAAGGGGAAATATGTGCTGAGAATCAGAAAGCAGCTGCTCATTCATTCATGGAATGGCCCCATTAGGATCAAAGGGGCATCCATGACTTGAAACAGAACCTGAAGAGACAAAACAGAAACGACTGCACTGGAGGGCAACAAGAGTTTCTGCCCCAACTCTTCCATTTGACAGGATACCCATGTAGCTGTTCCCATGAGCATTAGTGCTTGCTAATGGGAAGTCTCAACAAGAGGAAAAAAATCTGCTGAAAAATTTCAGGCACTGTCACCCCTAAAAACCCTCCCACACCTGGATTCACAAATCACTACTTTTTTGAGAGTCTGGAATAAATATTTACCCCTGAGAATTCAAAATTTGCTTTTCTCTAGGTATTTAGCAGCACTTTCCAAGTAAGATTTGCCTCCTAGATCCCCAGCTGATGGCAACACAATCGTTGGAAGATGTGTTCAACGACAATGCTTTTTACTGCAGCAGCATAGATGACAGGATTTACAAGCCTCTGGGTGCTGCACTTGTCCTGTCTCATAGAAGAGGAAAGCGAGGCTCAGCAGTCTGAGATCAGCACATCAGGGATTTAACCAAGCAGGAAGAGAGAAGTAGCTGAAAATAATTATACTTTCTATCGACAAGGGCAGCACAGAGGCAGCACAGTGGCTGTGGTGCACCCCGGGGCTCTGAGCCTCATCAGATCATCTGTGCCAGTCACTGTAGGCACACTGTCCCTTCTGGCAGTACTTGAAGATGATGGAGAATTTGCTTGTAGGCAAATCATGTGAGAACAGACACTTGTTTGTCCCCCAACACACTCTGCAGGTAGTACCTGCACATCACTGCTCTGTGCTCACCATGGTAGTGTGCTGCCTGGCCCCTGACTTCTGGCTGCTCAACACAGAGAGTCCAGAGGACAGCTGCAAGAACAACCAGAGGTACAGCAAATAAGCCCTGCAAGGAGGTACAGACAAAAACTATTTGATTTAGTCTGGGGGAAGAGATGCATGATAATACCTTTCAAATAGGTA